CAATCAATAACTGAGAGATAATTCTTGATTTCTTTTTGGAGCGAGTTTAGAAAATGAAACTATAAAAACGAGGATACGTATTCGGTTACAAATACTTTTCAATGTAATCAGGCAACGCAGGCAAAAAAATGGCCGACTAGGTATCCTCTTCTCGCGTAATTAACACAACCTCGGAGATAATCGTGGGATAATTCAGCTGAGAACGGCCCCGAGAAGGTGGTGAAACGTGGAAATCTATTTGATAATAATACGAACGGTCGTTAACAGTTGTAGCACGAGGCTCTGCAAAGCCCTTATCTTTCGGACGATCGATAAAACCTGCTGCGAAATGGAGACTGGGAAAATTTAAATCGCGCGCGCTTCGACCATAATCATCGTTAATTCGTTGCGGCGCTATAATCGAAACGGGTGTTCGATGTTATTATTCTTGCCCACCACTCTTCTCTTCTTCTTTTCTTTCGAATCGCAACGCAAATGATTCGAGAGCGAAACACGAGAAGAGAAGGAACGGTAAAAAAAAAAAAATTGAAATTGGATATTATTTTAAATCATTGAATCGCATTTATTAAATTCATCACCGATTTAAACATCTCTTCGATTTACATTTCTCGAACGAATTAAATTTTGAATGGAATTATTCAGTTTCGTGTATTTGTGCCAGCAAACGATCGATCAAATGCATATCCATGTATTGAGTATAAATGTTCTCTCGAAATAAAAAATCAAAATTCATCGTTAAATAAGATTTTTAACTTTTATCGTGAACGAGATAAATAAATAAATAAATAAATAAATAAATAAATAAATAAATAAAAAAATTGAATAGAAAAAGAATAGACCGGATAAACAAAAAGAGGAATTATAAACAATATTCGCGCGAGATAGAGATAAGGAGAAATATAACGAAAAAGTAAAATTTTCTTCTATACATCCATACGTACGTTGCTTCATCGTATGTTATATCGCTCGAATTCCTTGAAATTCGTCAATTTTACGTTACTTCGTATATTTTCACAAATTTTACGTGGTTTCTTCTTATTTTTTTGGCACTGGTATTCGTCACCGAAGAAATTCCACATGCACAAAGACTCGTTATACTGAACAGCTGAGAAAATATATAATTTTAATACTTTCCATTCTTGAAATTAACGAAAAAAAAAAAAAAATTAATCACAAACTCGTGACGATTTAAATCACGAGAGAAAATTCCAAAAATATACTTGAAACATCTCGAAATATTCTCGAGAATTAAATAGCGCACACTTCCACCAATTGCTAGTTCGTTCGTTTTTTTCTCCTTCATTAGAAATTCGAATAATCCTCGAGTATTTAGTTACTTTTATTTCTTAAGTCGAGTCGACGAGCGATACTCGAAGCAGCCGGATGGTATAAAGATTCCACACGATTCTCTCGACTTACCCAACTGCGTGTGATCGGGGTTCCACATGATACTGTTGACTTGCAAATCCTTATCCACCATTATCATGTCCACAACCCGATCAAGGCTACCCAGGACGGGCATCAACGTGCATTCGGCCTGCTGCACGAAGTATGACCAATTAACGACCAGCTCCGCGCTGTGCTTGTTCCACGCGAGGTTCTTCACAGCGCCGTGAAAGTACACGTTTCGATAACCCTCCGGGACCAATTTGTTCACGTTCCACAGCGACAGCGAAGCGTTCCCGTAACCACCGCCGATACACAGGTAACCGCTTTCGTAGGGGTGCCAAGCCAATGCCTGAAACCACATTATCCTCCAAATTATTAAACGAAAAAGACATACGATATGTACATCTAGTTTAATGTATATATCATACGTCTAGTCTAATAATACTCTGAAAATACACACGTCCTCCAAATTATTGAACGGAAAAAGTCACTAAACTAAACATATGATATATCATGTCTAGTCGAATGATTCTGAAAATATATATATATATATATGAAACCATGAATTATATCCTCCAAATTATTAAACGGAAAAAGTCACTAAACTAGACATATGATATATACATATAGTTTAATATATACGTCTAGTCTAATAATTTTGAAAATATATATAAATGAAACCATGTCCTCCAAATTATTAAACGAAAAAAGT